ACGAGACGCTGCCTACCTGCATCCGCGTTATAAAAATGTCCATAAACAATTGGTAAGTTTATAGACTTTTGGTTTGAAAATGTTTGGTTAAGTACCTAGAATTCAATAATTTGCTGTTTGTAGGTTTTAGATGTGTAGAAAGTGTTGTTTGAGCAAATGTTTGGTTTCTGCAGGTTAATCTCAGAAGTGAACTGCGTGAAAATGATGTATGGCTGCAAAAGTTGATTCAATAGTTTAATTGATTATTTTTTGATTGTTTAATTGATTTGTAAAAGTTGATTCAATAGTAGATGATTGGAAATAAGAATTATTGCTTATTTTTTGATTGTTTAATTGATTTGTAAAAGATGATTTGTAAAAGATGATTTGTAAAAGTTGATTTGTGTAATTGATGCGAACATAATTCTTATTTGTGCTTGTTTAATTGATTGAAATGTAATGGTTGATTTTGTTGATTTCAATCTGCATTATGTTGAAGGCAAAAATGACTATCGCAATGCGAAATGAAAATCGCAATGCGAAATGAAAATCGCAACGAGAGAATCGCAATGCGGAAATGAAAATCGCAATGCGGAAATGAAAATCGCAACGAGAGAATCGCAATGCGATTTTCATTTCGCATTGCGATTTTCATTTCCGCATTGCGATTCTCTCGTTGCGATTTTCATTTCGCATTGCGATTTTCATTTCGCATTGCGATTCTCTCGTTGCGATTTTCATTTCGCATTGCGATTTTCATTTCGCATTGCGATTTTCATTTCCGCATTGCGATTTTCATGTTGGGATTTTCATTTCGCATTGCGATTCTCTCGTTGCGATTGTAATTTCCGTGTTGCGATAGTCAAATGCATGCCTAATAAGTGATAACAACTGAATAACAAGAGTTGGTTAAGTCAAAATGGTTGGCCTGAGTCATTAATTCAACTGAAAATGTTAAAAGTTCACACATAAAATCCACATAATACAACGTTTGCATTTAAAAATCACCTAAGTTAACAGTCCCAAAAGGTGAAGCCAATTGTGATTGGGATTTTAAAGATGATTGCCTTTTGCTTGACACCATATGAGCTTTGGATTTTGATGAGGATCCATATTTTGGTAGAGGAAAAGATGATTTTGATGGCACTGGTGATCCACATGTCAACCTTGTATGACCACTTTCCTTGCACCGACTACATGTCGATCTCTTCTTCTCTTCACCCTTAGACGGTATACGATCGTGACTTTTTGGTCGGCCAGGTAGCCTTCTGTCCATGGCTGGAGGAAAAACTGTTTGTAAGTCATCTGGTATGTCCCACTCAGAAGGATGTGGAATAGGGTAGACAATCTCGGCATAAGTCTGTCGATAAACTTCTGTAGTGTAGCAATCCATAGCGTATGCGCTTGAATCATCTTGGTTTAAATGAAGAGCAACTTTTATAACATGGCCACACGGATAACCAGATGTTTGCCATTTCATACAACTACACGTCTTTGCATTTAGATCGACTAGCCCATTTAAGTTATTATCCAGTACTTGAAACAAAGTGTTTGAACATGGTTCAACTCTCCATGACGTTGACTTCACAACACGTTTCGTTATCTTTTTTTCAGTCCATGGTGTAACACGATGTTCCAATGTTCCTGTAAATTTAAATAAACAATACTTAGTAAAATATATAAATATGATAAGTTACGAATTCAAAGAAATAATACCTGCATGGTTTCTTTTCTTGTAGTACCACTGTTGAATAGAGGCTCGAAAAAACTCCATTAACATAGTAATGGGTAATTTCCGGGAATGACGACTTAGAGCGTTGATTGATTCTGCACTATTAGACGTCATGAAACCATATCTTGCTCCAAGTTGATGTACTCTTGACCATCTTTCAAACCCGACATCTTCTAGTGTTTGAGCACACTGAGGCAAAACACGTCTTAAACAATTTATATGCTTATTGAAATCCACTTCCCGATAAGCTTTTACAGTCTTCCAGTATGTACATTTGTGCTTTTTTATACCAGCAGACCTTGATTTTAGATTTCTATACAAATGAACACCACAAAGTCCATGAAAAGCATCTGGGAAACACCTTCTAACAGCGTTGTCAATTGAGTTTGCCCTATCGGATATGATTGTCAGATTGCTAATAGGACCTATGCAATCCCTAAGATGCCCCATAAACCATGTCCATGAATCAGAGGTTTCAGATTTTCCAACCCCGTAAGCTATTGGCAATATCCCATTGTTAGCATCCATGGCTACTGCTAATAAGTTTACTCCAAGGTATCGACCTTTCAAATGTGCTCCGTCAACTATAATAACTGGGCGCATGCAAGTAATAAACGAACGAATCTACAAAATAATATACACAAGAAATATAATCATTTAAATGTGAAATGCATGTAACTAACAAAAATGAGTCAACAAAATTATATTGATTTACTAACCGTAGCACCAATGGCGATAAACAGCAACTCAAAGTGTCCATCTCTATCTATTTTGATATGAGTTACTGACCCAGGATTTTTCAGCTTTAAATTGTGACAATAAGCCGGCAGTTGGGAAAACGATGCTTCTGGCGACCCCCTCAACAATTCCAAGGCATAACATTTGGCTCTCCAAGCTTGAGAATATGATATACTAATCTTGAACCGAGCATTCATGTCAGTCATAATTTCATGTCCCCGATATACCCTGCCATTCAAAAACATTAACTCAGCCAGAAAACCACCCAACACCTTTTTGTTTGCCTGTCTATGGTGAGGAAAAACTTGGGTTCTTGAACATGTATGTTTATCAATAAAAGTCCTAACTTGAAACATTTCGCAATCTTTTATTCTCTTTGCAATCATACGCCACGTACAGTTTTTGTCAATCATACACCTTGTTTCGAAACGATATTTGCTTGATTTGTTAACTTTTAGTTGATAGCCATCTTCCACACATTTCGTATACAAAGCTATCTTCAAGTCTTCCTTTGTATCAAAACAATCATCTTTCTTGATACGAATAACTTTTGTGTAACAATCAACTGCTTTCTTTACCAACTCTTCTTCCGGTATCTGAAGTAATTCTGGCATATTCCAGTTATACGCCCGTGGCATTTTCTTTTCTTCGGGGACTTTTTCTTCTTCTTTTTCTTCTTCAGGATTATATGAATTACAGAATGGATGTTCAACATGTTCATTCACAGTCGTAACTTCCTCCTCATTATCATCAACAATACATTCTTCGGCAACGGCTGTTTCATCACCAAAATTCGGGTATTGACCAATATCAAAATCATTACACGCAGGGTCTGTTTCTTCTTCTGAAACATCATCAAAATCCGTGTATTGACCAATATCAAAGTCCGGATATTGACCAAGACCAAATTTCGAATACTGACTAGTACTCACAATTTTTTCTGTTGGCTCATCATCGTCTAACTGGTCAATACGAAAACCGGAATTTGGTGCTGAAAGTTGATTGGGATTTGGATTAGAGAAAGGTTGTGGGTTTTGAGAAAAACTTAGTTGATTACTACCCGCTACTGACCCAACAATACTACTTCTAGGTTCAACAACATACAATGTAACATCATCTTGTGAAACACTAATGTAAGCAATGAATCGTTCAACATCTTCATTGTCGGTTAACAAATAAACTTTACAATTTCTCTGATAAGATAGCCTAAATCCACTTAGGGGCTCTAAATTCAATTTATTTGAAACACGTAGCATTAGAGTTTCATAAGTTAACTTTTGTAAAGACAATTTTAGTTGAAGATTCATGGGTAAAGGCATATATTGTAAAACACCATGAACATTATCCCATGACCCTCCAAAACACAAATCTATCCAAACATGATCAACATTAGATGATTTCATGGTTGTAAATTAATTTACTAAACAGACGAGCTGCGAAACTAAAACCTGTTGCCGGATTGGGAAGGATGTCGTTGGATATAGGAACGGATGTCGCCGGAGAGAGTGATAGATGGAGATGGAATGAGTTGCGATTTAGGGATTTAGTTTATGATTTGCTGCTGTTGCGTAGTTATATACCCAAAATTTCAGTGTTGTGATTTACAGATTCTCGTTGCGATTTACAGATTCTCGTTGCGATTTACGGATTATCGTTGCGATTTACGAATACGCGTTGCGATATACGGATACGCATTGCGATTTACGGATACGCGTTGCTATTTACGGATACACGTTGCGGTTTACGGATACGCGTTGCGATTTATGTGTTCGCGTTGCGATTTTCATATTCGCGTTGCGATTCTTGAAAATCGCAATGTGAATTTGTACTATCGCATTGCGATTTTCAAGAATCGCGTTGCGATTTTGGAAACTGATTTGCGATTCTGGGGATCGCGTTGCGATTTTTATTTCGCGTTGCGATTTTGTTGGTCATTTTGGCAAATCCAAAAAAAGTTGGTTAAAATCGTATATTATAAGACATTTTTGGTCACTGAGGCGATTTTCTCTATTTATAATATTATGATACTATTTTATTCAAATTTAAATGATTTTTTATAATCATATATAATACATATATAATTCTTCAAATTTTTTTATATGTAATATACTTATATTATACAGAGCCAAAAGAGTCGACTCAAACTTGAAAATAATGCAATAATTACTAAACATTTCAATTTACTCAAGTTGTATTTTATAACTTGACTCGAGTTTATGAAATTACAACTCGAAAAATAATTCGAGTTGATTATTTTGGAGTCAAGTCAAGAAAATCGAATTTGAGCCGAATTGAGTTTTCCTCGCCCCTATCTAAATCTAAAAAAATGCTTGGATAACGTGGTGAAATTTTTGTTCCATGTAAGATGACGGAGAAAATATTTTTAATCTAATTTAGATGTTACAATAGATATCGAATGTCAGAACACTTGATGTCTTCGAAGGTCAATCGAAACACCTAACCACTTCAAGCTTTTCATCTCCTGAAATACAATACCTGAGGGACTTTTCATCTCCTGAAATACCATAGCTGACCTCCCTCTGCTAATTTTATGGGATGATGCCGAATGCTCCGGCCAGCTTCTCAAAGACGTCAGATGTTTCGGTCGACTTCTCAAAGACGTCGGATGTTCCAGCCGACTCCCTCCTTTACTATTTATTTCACCCTAGAAAAAAAATAACATTTCCACGGTCCCATATTAACCATTTTCTTTTCTTCAACACGAATGTATGTGTCCAACATGTCTTAACACACACACCCGAGGTGAAGTACCATAGCACCAAATATACGGATGTATGTGTCTGACATGCCGTTGTAGGTGCCGAAGATGAGCAAAAGGAGATACTTATCAAGGAAATTGAAAGAGTAACCCGGTTGCCAATTCAAAGGATTGTACCATTCAAACGTAATTTTATTAAAGCCTTGTGTATAGCAAGCAAAAACTTGAAAATGTAGGATTAATTAGAAAAACAAGTGCAAATTGGTGCAACCAGATTTGTAAGTCTGGAGAATGTACTTACTTATATATAGACAAATATTCTTCAGGCAATTACTTGATCACTTTCTGACATGTTGTATAACTAGTTATCGCCAGATCTCAGAACCCGTAGAATGGAGATGAACAAATTCAGGACGTCCAAATAGAGAGTGGCAGAGGCCAATATGTAATCATCATATGTGAAACGTTTGATCAGGTTGTCAGTGTCGTACACTATGTACCCACAGAAAATCATGGCACTAATTCCACCATACACAGCAGTAGATGCAGGGCCGAGTGGAAAGAACATCTGCATAATAATAGAAACAAATATAATAAGTTAGATTCGGGTTTGTGGAAGCATGAGTAATCATATACTGTTAAACATCTCACCTGGATTAGACCAGTTAAGATAAGGATAATAAGGCTGGTGAACAAAATTGGCCCCAGATAGCTAAAGTCCTTGCCCTTCTTCGACGCCCAGAAAGTGTAGCCGGTAAGAGATGCAACCACAACTGCTGTCAAAATTAGCGCTTCAAGTACAATTCTTCCTGAAATTATACAAACATGGATGATTAGTAACAATTCTTGATTTACGACTACGATAAGGATGTTTGATGACAAGCATCAAGATACTAACCATCTGTATTAGCACAGCTCACACCAACCGTGAGACTCAATGACACGGTGAAGAGGCCAAGGATAACCAAGTTCACTGGGTGCTTTTGGTGATAGACATGCAAAGGCCACAACACTGCACGGAATAGGTTTTAAAGTTTAAGATAAAGAAGAGAAACGTGACACAATGGATCAAATAGAACTCCGTACAATCTTAAAAAATACTAGGTTTTTTTTTTTACAATTTATCAACGTGAGTGGAGGATCTTCAGAAGGTCATGACATGTCCGGGAAAGAGAACTTCAAGCAAATGAAGAATTAGAGTAGCATAGTTTAGTTGTTTAGATAACTAAGACTTGAATGAATACCAAGAGTTTGAAACCTACTGATTAATCAGAGACCATTAAAGAAAGTACTCATTAACAAATCTGGAGGTTTTACTTTACAAAATTATTAGAGGAACTAACAACTTCCAAATATTTCAAATACGAAAAGATATTATTCATAAGCTTTCTACATCTTAATTTCAAAGTATTAACAATCTACATCCCTTTATCCTATTCTGACATACAAACTGTCAGAACAAACACAAAGATATCCAATATTAGTGTAGGACCAGTAGGTTAAGAACAGTGCACAGCGGCATTATAAAAGCCCAATATAACATAAAGGTGCAAAATGTGATCCTAAACCCATAAATTCCCCATGAAAAGCATCAGAATAAAGCAAAGAACAGATAGAATAAATCCATAGAGATAATTGCTGAATGTTGTCCTTGTCTACGGGGCAAAGCTTTTACCAAATCCTTTGCTCAATCCATATACTATATAATCAGACTAAACAATACAAGACAGCTGCGAGTTCTAAACCCATAAATTCCCTATGAAATCTGAACAAAGAGGAGAACAGATGGAAACAATATGTATAGATTTGCAGAATTGCTTTTCTAGGGCGCAAAACCGTTGTCAAATCCTTTACTCAATCCATATACTTTAGAATAGGCTACACAAAATGAGACAGGTATAAGTTCTAAACCCATAAATTCCCCATGAAAAGCATTTGAATAAAGCAAAGAACAAGATATATCAATTTGATAATATTGCAGAATACTGTCCTTGTTTAGGCAACAAAACTTTTGTTAAATCCTTTACTCAGTCCATTGATTATTTTCTAAATAAAAGAAGACAATTAGTTCCAAATTCATAAATTCCCCATGAAAGGAATCGGAATAAAGCAAATAACAGACAGAACCCATATGCAAAGACATCTGCAGAATGCTGTTGTTGATGTTGATGTTGAGGGGAACAAAATGTTTGCCAAATCCTTTACCCAATCCACATACTTCGAAATATATTTAAAAAACAAAACTATCAATCTATCATACTAGATTTCTTCCTAAGATTAAGGCATCAAATATTTCAATCAAATTTAATTTTTACAGCTTCAATAACCAAAATTTTGGCAATCCAGAAAACTGACTTTAGAAACAAATTATGTTCAAAATTCAAGTCAAATACACGATTTTTTTATTAAATCTAACCTTAACATAACATTTGAAGGAGATCAAATTCACAACAATCAAGGAAAAGTGCCCTAATTAACTTACACGCACACATACCATTTAAAGGAAACCAAAAAGGTATTTATTTCATGCACAATTCAAGATTCAGTAGGATTAAAGCGAGAGGATAAGGAAAGAACAAAAATTGAATGAAAAAGAAAAGAAGGTTAAGGAATTTACAGATGCAGGGGATTAAACACAGGAAGAGTAAGAGGCCGGAATTTCCACGGAGGAGGTCGTTGACTGGATCCGACAAAACGACGAAGGCGGAGACGACGGTTGTTAGAATCAGTTGGGCCGCCAAGATGCCGTAAACCTTGCGGATAAAGCCCCAACGGAGTTGGTTCTCGCCGTAGCTGAGTCCCGGGTATAAAGTCTCCCCCGACTCTAGATCTATCTCATCCGCCTTGCCGCCGCCGCTCGTGTTGCTTATGCGGTCGAATCCGTACATCTTTTCTTTTTCTTTCTCGTTTTCCCGTAAAATGAGAGCGGAAGAAAGAAAATGTGGGAAAACAACTTAGGCTGGCGATTTCTTTATATGTAAGGTAGCCGATCAAAATTGTTGTTTGTAAGGTTCTACACCAATTTTACATAGACTAGATAACTACCGTGAAAATTTTAATTTGTTTTAAATTAATAGTATTTATTTAAAATTTAAAAATATATAATTAATTATTTTTATTTAGAAAATGAAAGAACAAAAAAAGTTTTTTTAGAAAAAAATAAATTAAATTAAAAACTAATTAAAAGTGTAACTTACATATAACATATAGTTTTTTAAAGGAAAAAGAAATGAAAAAACAATTGATATAATCCATTTTAATGAAAAATTATATTATTATTATTATTATTATCTTATAAATGTATATATTTTACTTTATAATTTAACTTTTGTATAGTTTTTCAATTGAATAAATGTGATTAAATTAAATGATGTCAATTCAAATTGAATCATACTTTGGAATTATAAGGCTCCGTTTGTTTTCAGAAAATAATTTATGTGTATGTTTGTTTCATGGGCTAGTAATAAGAAACATGAGGCGTAGTATGTGGTATGTCATCATCATTCGCTCCCACCGGCATGTCAAGGTCCTCTGATTCTTCATTGAAGGGGCCTACATCGTCACCATTGGGGTCGATCTCCCTTATCGATGCTTCATTAGAAATATCCTCCTCAAATCGAAATAGTTCAGCATTGTCGACTACGGGGATAACATGAGTAGTAGTTGTGCGTCGATCATGAGAACTCTTACGAACTATACTACCAAGATCAAAGTCGACAACACCAACACAAGAATGTCTCCCCATAGATACTGAGAAATCTTTGAATGGGTTAAACGCTTCATGTTCTTGCAACCTCATTTCCTACTAAGAAGATTATGCAGCCACACCAATATTGCATGGATTGTACATTACACGTTGCGTTGGTGGTAGATTCAGGTCAAAGTCTAAGCCAGCTACACAAGAATACCTTGGCATCGAAGACGATGATGCACCCAAGTCATTGCCCCAATTTTGTTACTTAATAAGTTAAAATCATTACGTAAATTAACGTCAGATTATGAATATTAGGATCGAAGTCAAAATATGCCCCTTTCCAATTTGGCACACTGGTAGTATCATTATCATCAGAAAATTTTGCATATAGCTCAAGGGGACCTCTTAATGAATACTACATGTGGCAATCGAGCATCATGTCCACATAACCATTATCCTCAATGTTGTATATTGTGTGGGTTAGTGATTCCAACGACATCAGTAGTCGATACTTCAACGGTTCAAGTTTTTTCCAGCGACCATGTGGAACATTGTTCTTGACTTCTTTCATCAACTTCTTATACTTTAATTTCTTCAACAACGTTATCTTCACAGTATGTGAAGAATGAAAGACGATGCCAAGAGATGCGTTGCCATCATAATATACCAAAACAATAAAACTTCATCTTCTCGACATGTTTTGAAAATGTCTACAATCATGCAAAGAGAAAAACAAATATGAGCAAAATTATAATGACTTCAAACTATGTAATAATCGAGAAGTGTTAAATAAATTAACGATTAAAATAGTTGTTGATCAATTCCCTTATCCTTGACGTGATTTGGAAGGTACATGTGCATGCAAAGATTCTTGAGGTGAAGTGGAAAACAACTCGCGTTCTACAGAACGCGAGTTCTGTAGAGATTTTTAACATGGCGGCAGCTGATTTGACTTGATAGTTTGACATGAAATGAAATGGACCTCGCGTTGTGAAAGGCACGAGTTCACTGCCACATCATGTCAAGGTTCTTTCCTATTTAATTTTTTTTGTTCCAACGAACGTAACCATCTCCGTGAAACATTCTTCTTCTTCATAAATGATTTATCCTTTCTCAGAAAACTTCTAGTTTAAAAAAAAATCCTCTTCCCATGGCAACATTTCTTTATTCGTGCTAAGATAGGCACCTTAAGTGCCTTTACAACATCGTATATAACCGATATTGTTCTTCATGGTCAAGAAGAATCTGCACAACGCGAGGTTCTTGCCTACTTCTTGGAAAACTTTTAACCTTTTTTTAGGTTTAGTATTGTGTTGTGCAAGGTATCCTCTTTTGGTGGCATCTAGATTTCCGCTTGGACCCCTCGAGAAACTTCTTCCTCCATTAATTAGGTCCAATCGAAAACACTTTGAGAAACGTTGTTGAGATTTTTCCTTTGCATTTTTACCAACAGGTTTCCTTTGCGTTTGAAAGCATTTTGAACATGATTTGTACCCCGCTTACACTATCTCGTATGTGCCCATATCAATTTTAATTTAAAGATAAGTTGCAATAAACGCCTATAAGCTCAAACATTAAACAAATGTTTTTATTAACTTACTAAAAATACTCAACGGACATGTCTATCAATCCATTTTAGCTTGTTATTCACGCACAAACCAAGCTTTGGTACCATTTTGAATGCGATTTTTACCCTGCTTATAATATCTCGTATGTGCTGATATTACACTAAATTAAAAGATAAGTTCAAATATTACGCGCTGATCTTATAAATTACAAATATTTAACAATTTACAACCCGAGAGAACGTCTCAAACATGGATATGAAGAAAAGGGATGTTGGCTAGATTTTACAATTTAGGATCTTGTGTTATGCAACCAACAAGGTCAATCGTCACATTGGATTTTATTCGATTCAAATTCAACATACCTTGAGTCCTGTGTAACGTGAATTACTTTATGACACATAGGATATTATTCGATTTAAAGCGTCACACTTTTTAAACGTACCTTGTATCTTGGAAAACGTGAGTTTCATCGATTCCTTGCTTCGGGATGGGTATGAGACTGTTATAAATAGGGACCCATTTTGGATGGTTTCCTAAACATATTTCAAAGAAAAATGACAAAGAAAATATATTTTATTATTGTGGAATTATTCCTAAGAGAAGTGTTATAAAAAAAAATCTTGTGTATGTGGCTTCTAATTCTATCGTCGATTTCACTAAGGCGCAGTTGAGTTGCAAGACTTTTCATGAAGATGTGGATCACAATTAGATTTTTCAAAACGTTTCAATGAAAAGTTTCAACATCATGAAGTGGAATCAAGCCGAGAAAATGTTTCATGAAAGATGTCTTACTGCTAATAATCATGGAGCTTTATATAGACACAACATGTGTAATTATTTTAGTGGAAGGAACTAGGAGTTCAGTTTGCATTGTTTGAAGAAAACAATTAATAAAGGTAATATCAATGACATATATGTTTATGGTATTATTCTAATTTGTTATGGGGGCGAATTAAGAGATGAATGACTTTGAATCATGAAAGCTCTCGACATTGTCAATGCTAAGAAAATAAATTTCGAGGTTATTCGTTAGGAGATGGATCCGTTTTTAGGCTTAATGTCGTGGAGTCGTCACAACATTGTCTTCCCAGAACAAATCGAAGCCTGCGATTCTTTTATATAGCTCATTTCATTGTAAAGCCAGAATTTATTGTACTCGATCTAGTCAGATAAAAAGTTGAGTGACTCATGAATTTAATTATAAAAAGTCTTTTATAAGAAAATTAACCCCTCTAATATCCTTATTACGTGATTTGCAAGCAACAATTTGTGTAGCTCAGAGTATAATGGTATGAACAGGTACATTCATATAAGATATGAGTATATGAGCTATTTAATAAAGAATAAAGTATTCTATTTAGTGTATGTAATGTCTGGAAAAAAAATTACTGATCCATTTATCAAAGAATAAAGTATTCTATTTAGTTCAAAATTTATGGTAACTTAATTTTCTAAATTTTGTAATCTTCAAGAATCAACACATACATTATATCATGATCTCATCAGTCACATACTTATCCAAAAAAATCTTCAAAAACATATACAATACATAAATTAATCAAATAATAGTATAATATCCAAAGTTCATAGAGTAAAGTTATTATATATATATATATATATATATATATATATATATAAAATCATATAAAACATGCAAACAAATCACATGAATAAGAAATTATGCTTTCAAAACATATGATACAGTCATCCATTTATGGTAATTCAAATAAATAAAACAGATTGATAAACGTAACACACGTGTATTAAGTTGAAAAGTCTAACATAAAAGTCTATTAAATAATGGTCAGTGATAGTGCTAGAACCCAAGTACCAAAAATAATTAAATCACTATTCGCATAAAAAACTGTGTTGGTCTTGAGTTGGCCCAATAGTTTAAGGTAGGTGATGTTTTTTTAAAGTGGGTTGTAAGTGAGAGGGACCAAAAAGGTAGTTTACCCATAGCTTGTTATAAGAAATAAAAACCCTTTTAAATCTAGGCTCCTTCAAGTGAAATAAAACCCAAAATATCTTCCTATAGTCTTCATCCTTTCTTCCTTCTTCCTCCTTCCTCCCATCAAAGGATCAATCCTTAAGGAAACCCAAACGGTAAGAGTTTTAGTATCCTTTCCTCAAGCTTCATTTCCCTAGATTGAGCCAATTGCGGATAAAAGTTTATAGAATTTAAGGATTATGATATAATTTATAGGATTTAGAGTTAATGATATAATTATCGAGTTTGGACTAAATTACATAGAAATAAATATGGGTCAATTAAGGATAAAAGTATAAATTTAAGGGTAAAGTATATAAATAGTCCCTAAACTTTTAGGGTAAAGATCAATCATATAACGCTCGACGAGCACCATTGACAATGAACACCATTAATTTAAGGTTAAAGTATATAAATAGTCCCTAAACTTTTAGGACACTTGCATTTTGATCACCCAACTTTTAAAACTTGTAATCTAGTCATCAAACTTTTAGTTCGTTTTCAGTAAAATCCCTATTGTTACCTCCCGTTAGTTTTACTGACATGGCACGTTACCGTTTGACTCAACCCATTTGATCGATGGTTTGACTTCTTCTTCCAACTCAAACCAAGCAAAACCCAAAACCCTATAAAGACATTTTCATTTCAAAAACCTTCTAAGTGACCAATTATTTCAAAGATTAATACCTTTGATGAGATGTCATGTTCATCCA